GTCTTTCCAACTCCAAGCCCCCAACACTTGCTCCATAGTAGATCTCTAGAGAATTGGGGGCAATAACTATTTCTGACTCAAATCCCTCTCCCCAAAACTGTAAGGAGCTTCCAGAAATTGATGAGACTGAAGTCTGTTTCCCAGAGGCAAGATGGTCAAAGGATTTAAAAGGCACGGGAAGAAACATACATTGTCAACAACCACCAAAAAAATTATTCCTATAATTATAAAAACATAAATTAAAACAGTACCAAGCTTCTACCTTATAGCCATCAAAATGATCAAATTAAATTCCTTGGGGATGAGGCTGTGGGCGGCAGAAGGCACACCGTCTACCCACTGGCTCCTGTGAATTGGTACAATCTTCCTAAGAAAGGAATATAGCGTTACCCACAACGGTTATCAAGCCGCTCATACCCTTTGACCCTGGGATATTGCTACAAAATCTCTGAATCTATTCATAGTCAGTTTTATCTACCAGAGCTTAAAAAATTGGAGACAGCCCATATTTCCAATGAACATAGTAGAATGTCATTGTGCTGGGAGAGATAAGAAATACAAAGAAGGCACAGAAACCTGAGAAAGCTCAGGGAGTTGTGCAGAACAGCCCTGGATTAGAAGTAGGGAGAACTCAATTCTAATCTCTACCCCAGGCTTGCTAGCTAATCCCCCAATCTCTCAGCCTCAGTTTCTTCATCTGTAAAAGTGATAGGATGGGACTAGAGAAAAAAATCTCTTCCAACTCTAACTCCTAATCCTAATTAATGCAGAACATGAAGAATTAATTGAGCAACGATTTAATTCAAGTTAAATTCCCACTATCAGTAAGGGCCACCCCCCCCCCCAGCTGACCATGAGTGATAGACAAAAATAAAAGTCCCTGTCCTCAGAATGCTTACTAGCTGAGTATTGGATTTGAACTATGCATACATTTATACATAGGTGCAGTGGTCTGGAGTCCGGAAGACCTAAGTCCAAATCCAGCTTCAGACACTTACTAGCTGTGTAAGTCACTTAACTCTGCCTCGGTTTCCTCATCTGTGAAGTATGGATGATAATAGCACCTACCTCTCAGGGTTGTTATGAAGATCAGATGAGATAATTGTACAGTGCTCAACACAGTGCCTGCCCCTGTAGTATGCACTATATTAGGTTTTTAAAAAACCAAATATCTATCTATCAGGTTCCTCAACTGTAAGATGGGGATAACAGCGCCTACCTCATTGGGTTGTTGTGAGGATAAAGTGAGGTAACATTCTGTAAGGAGCTTGCTCAGGTAGGTGCGGGATAAACACTTTAGGGCAGTTAAGGGGTGCAGTGGATAGGGGGCCAGGCCTGGAGTCAAGGAGGACCTGAGTTCAAATGTGGCCTCAAACACTTACTAGCTGGATGACCCTGGGCAAGTCACTTTACCCTGTTGGCCTCAGTTTCCTCATCTGTAAAATGAGCTGGAGAAAGAAATGGCAAACCACTCCAAGTATCTTTGCAAAGAAAACCCCAAATGGGGTTGTGGAGAGTCAAACTGAATTTTAACTCTCCTTCCTGGTTTTCTCACCTCCTCTCCCCCAGGCATCAAATTCCATTTTTATTTCCATTTCCAACCAACTTTTGGAGGCGTGGTGGTGGAAGAGAAGTTTCTTGGTGGGGCTCGGGACTGTTTGCTTTCACAAAACAAAGGGCTTTGTGAGTTCTAAGAATAATCTCTTGACTGAGGCCTTGAAGGGATAAGGGGGCATTTGAGTTTGTCTTTTGAAGAATGGGTAGAAACTCCCTGGGTGGAAGATATCTCCTTGCAGTCCCTGGGATCATCCACTCAGAGCTGGGAGGACCCTGGAAGGACCCGGGAGGCCTTGGAATCCAATGCATGATTTTACAAATGAACAAAATGAAGCTTCTGGTCAATGTGGCAGTAGGTAGGCTTAGAATTCTAACTCAAGTTTCTGTAAATCTTTGCCTTCTTAATATTATTTTTTACAGAACCATAGGATGTCCGAGTCAGAAGGGCCCTCAGATACCATCTAATCCAACCCCGTCATTTTACAGAATGGCAAACTGAGGCCCAGAGAGATTCATTGACTTGTTCAAGGTCACACAGATAGAAGAGCCAAGATTTGAACTCAGGTCCTCAGTTGTAGACGTGTTGAGTTTGAGGTACTAGCAGGGCATTTAGTTAGCAATCAGGGCTGTGGGTCTGGGGCTTGAAGAGAGAATGAGCTCAAGACTGCCTCCCAGAGGCAGATGGGAGGAACAATTCATTTGGAGGCTGAGGAGCCAGGTTTGAGTCATGCCTCTGATGCTTACAACATGACTGACCTGGGCCTTGGTGACCGTGAGATCTTCCTGGCCTCAGTTTCCTCCTCTGTAAAATGAGAAGGTTGGACTAATTGGTCTCAGATAGCTTTAGAGAGGTGATCCCTCTGTGCTGAGGAGACAGTTGAAGCCGTGGGACTGCACAAGAGTGGCCAGGAAGAGATAATAGAGAAGGAAGGGGAGAGGGCTGAGGACAGACCCTTGGGCGTGTCTTAACTTTCCCAGTTAAGGAGTGACTTAACTTTCCCAGTCAGGGCAAGACTCCAAGTCCAGAGCCTCCTTTGCCCACAGCCCCCTGGAGGCTAGCCCTGGTCCCTCTGACCTCCAGAAGTCCCTTTCCATGTGGTCATCCTGCAGACCGGAGTGCCTTGGCATCCAAACCTCTCTGGAATCCTCTTTGGGAACTGTCACCGGCGCCGGAGGCACATTCTCTTAAATGCCCCCAAAGTCTTTGACCTTTGAGATTGGATCTGCCGCTGGGCAGAGAGAGGCAGCATCTGGCCCTGAGAGGACCAGGGGCTGCTGGCAGAAAGAAGGCAGCACCTGTTTTCTTTCCTGAGTCCATCCCCTCCCACACCCCTGGGTCGTATGTATTCTGTATGTCCTATGGCGTCCTGTCTCTGCCACATGGTCTGTGTGACCTTGACCCAGTCACCTAACCACTGAAGGCGGCTCCTCCTGGGAATTCCGTACGCCAAGGTCACACTCAATAGAAGTGCGGCCCCTAAACCTGATCCTGCTAGCTTCTTACCGACTTAGAAAACTTCCTGTTAACATTATCTGTGCTCTACTGGCATTTTCATTTATTTCATTAAACATTTCCCAATTACATTTTAATCTGGTTCTGGCCCCAGGAGAGCATTGAGGCTTGACATCTCTGCCCTCCACGATGGATCCCAGGGCCAGGCCCTATTCCCATTAGATGATGAGCACCATGAGGGCAGGCATTATTTTTTACCTCCTTTTTGTGGCCTCAGAAGGAAAATATTTTAGGCTCCGAGACAGTTTTGCTTCTGAGTTTCCAAAAATGCTTTCAGTACTCGTCTCCGCTGCTTGAAGGCAGGGTAATGTATCCTGCAACAGAAGCAGCAGCCCTTGCCTTCCATGTTCTGAGTGCTTTGAGATCCCTCCAATAGATTGGGGTAAAGATGGCAGTGTCACGTAATGGACTGAGGGCTGGGTTTTTCGTGGTTTTCCCCTTTTGTTCTGATTCTTCTTTCTTCTTCCACAACAAAACTAATGTGAAAATGTGTTTAATATGATTATACATGTATAGCCAATATCAGATGGCATGCCATCTTGGTGAAGGGGGGGAGGGGGAAAATATGGAACTCAAAATCTCATAAAAGTGAATGTAGAAAATGAGAGAAAGAGAAAGAAAGAAAGAAATCCCATCGAGGCCACTTACTAGCTGTGTGACCCTGGACAGGTCACGTAACCTCGGCTGTTTCCTCATCTGTAAAATGAACAGATCAGCATGGGAGTGCTGGAAAACCATCTACTACTTATTTAGGAAGAGGGAGGCAGTGTGGCTCAGTGGAACATGGGCTGGCCCTGAAGTTGCTGCTGATTCGGACTGCCTGTGTTTCCCCATCTCTAAAATGGGGATGGGAGGTGTGGAGTAGATGACCTGTGTGGCCCTCTGGCTCTGGGTCTCTGAGCCTGGCCGCGTTTTAGGTGGCTGTCCTTTATTAGCGCTTAATTGTTTCTTAAAGATTAGTCTTGTCTCCCGAGTCAGTCAAGAAACACTCCATGAGGATCCCCTTTGTTCAGGGCACACATCCTAGAATCCAAGACCTGGGACTGGGCAGGACCTCCGAGGATGCCTAGCCCAGTGCTGTTATGGGAGAGATGAGGAACCTGGCATTAGTAAGTGTGCTGGCTGGCCTCTGGCCACAAGGCCACTCAGGCCAGGGGCTGCTTCCTCCACGGAGCCTTCCCCCTCATCTTACCAGTGAGGAAACTGAGTCCAAAAGGGATTAATCTTGGCCAGGCACGTACAAGTCATAAGTGTCTGAGGTAGGATTTGAACTCAAGTCTTCTGACTCCAAAGCTTTTCCTACTGAAACACAGTTAAATCTGGAGAAAGTCTGTACATGTTCTTTCCTTTCCTTTCCCCTCCCACTTCTTCTTATCCCCACCGCACACGCACACACGTACACGCACACACGCATACACACACACACACCCCCCTTAAAGCTGAGATCAGTATCATGTAGAAAGGGATCTCTGAGAGGTCATCTAGTCCTTCTCTGCCCACTTTACAAATGAGAAAACCAAGGCCCAGAATCACACAGACGGTTAGTTAGCGTCAAAGGCAGGAATGGATCCCCAAATTCTCCCCACTCTGCTGCCTGTCTATGGCTCAGCCTCAGTAGCTACATATGTCTTCTCTCTCCACATTCCGCGAGAGTGGAGCCGGTTTAAACATGACCTTCCCATCCCCCCACCTCCCAAAGAACGCCTGAGCGGCCTTTGGGGGAAGGAGTGTATGAGCACTCCCAAGCCAGGGAGGGAGGGCCGGCCATCCATGTCGGTGGTCCTGGTGCCCAGACAGGAGAAGGGGCACTGTGATGTAGAGGAAATGCCCTGGGGGCGTGGGCCAATGCCAGGAGGTTCAGCGAATGATTGTGGAACGGAGTTGACCTTCCCCTCCCGCTAACCCCAGCCCCTTCCTTGGAACCCTGCAGGTATGACTCTGGCAAGGACGGCTACATCGACCTGATGGAACTGAAGCTAATGATGGAGAAGCTGGGAGCCCCCCAGACCCACCTGGGCCTCAAGAACATGATCAAGGAGGTGGATGAGGACCTAGACAGCAAGCTGAGCTTCCGGGAGGTATTTGTGCACCCCCGCCCTAGCCCAGACTCCCAGGGGAAAGCCAGGTTGAGTCAACCAGTCACCCACCTGTGTCTGCCATGGGCCGGACAAAAGAGGCCTTAGGAACGTGGGAGGAGCAGAGTAGAGTGGAGGCCCCAGAGCTGAGCCAGGAAGCCTCTCAAAGGCAGAGGTCTGAGTGCACGTCAGCCGTGGATGTGGCCTGTGGCCATGCACGGAGGCAGAGAGCTAGTGAGCCAGGTGTCTGGAGCCTGGAGGCCTGAAAGGGAGCGGTGAGGCTGGGAAGGGAGACTGACTGGAGCCTGACCCAAAGAAGGCCCACCATGCCTGGCCTCCAGGCGCTGAGTGAGATCTTGGCTGTGTTTGGGAGTCCGATAGGCATTGGGCTTTCTCATGTTAATAGGTGGCCTTCCCTGGGGTACTGCAGTCTGAAGAGGCTTTTCTTCTGTTCCACCGGCCTCCTTGTTTGCCTGGGCCCTCCCCCCCCCCCCCCGCCCCCCCCCTCCCCCCCCCCCTGTCCGCATTCTGCTCTGCTTACTTGACGGGTTCTTTGTTACTCTGGAAGCCTTTGCCCAAAGACCTCAAACTCACTCCCAGAACTCGGAGGGACGGTGTCCTTCCTCCCCTCCCAAGATTCCCCCCTTGCAGTGAGCTCTTCCTGGTGGTCTTTGTGACTGGCCTTCATGCCTTGGTGGCATCCCTGGGTTACAGAAACTAGAAATGCTGAAACTCCCCGGGTGACCTTGGGCAAGTCACCTCCCATTCTCTATGAAAATGAACGGATTGGATGAGATGCCCCTGCCGGTCTCTAGAGCTAAGATCCTGTGACCCTTCCAGGTCACGGGACCTGGGTTCAAACATTGGCTCTACTTTCTTCCTCATGGTTTTTCCCTTTTGTCCTGATTCTTGTTTCACAACATAGCTAATGTGGAAATGTTTGATTGTGCATGTATAGCCTATACCAGATTGCGTGCCATCTTGGTGGAGGGAGGGAGGAGAAAAAATATGGAACTCAAAGTGTTGAAAACAAGAGAGAAAGAAATGAAGAAAGAGAGAAAGAAAGAATATATTATAGAGGAAGAAGCCTAGGTTCCTTCCTCTGTAATAGAAAGGATCCAAGGACCTGGATTCCAATCCCACCTCTGACAGTTAGTGCCTGTGTGACCTTGAATGAGTCACCTACATTTTCTAGGCCTCACTTTCCTCTCTGGTAAATAAAGTGAGTTGGGCCACTGAGGTCCCTTGTAGCCCCAAGTCTTTGACCCTAAAAACCTGATCAAACTGAGAAGGGAGGCTTGTCAAAGGAGCCTTTGTGGGGATGGAGAAGGTAGAGCTGTGACTTACAGGAGCAGAAATAGAGAGGGTGTGGTGTGAGCAGAGGCCAGTGACCCCAGGCCGGCATTCTCCCACCACCTGCCCAGAATTCTCTCAGTCCCGGTCAGTTGCTATATTCAGGCACCCAGGGTGGGAGGGTGAGCAGCTCCTCTCCTTCCTGAATCCATGGTCTGGTGGTAGTTAGATGCCCAGTTTAGAGCCTTGTCAGTAAACATCAGAGAAGTACAAATCTGGGGGTGGGCGGTGGAGGAAGAAAAATAAGAGGCACTGGGAGGTGGATGTTTAAATATCACCAAACATCTTTCTCATGAGAACTCAGTGAGGTCAGTTGTAGTGTGAGCATTATCTTCATTTTTCAGATTAGAAAACCGAGGTTCCGAGAAGGTAGGTGACTTGTCCAGGGGCATAAGATCTGAGATTTGGAGCTAAAAGGGACCGTAGAGGCCTCCCAGGCTGATCTGTTCATTTTACAGATGATGTTACATGACTTGCCCAGGGTCACACAGCTAGTAAGTGGCCTGGGTGGGATTTCTTTCTTTCTCTCTTTGTCTCTCTGTCTCTCTCTCTGTGTTTCTGTGTTTCTCTCTTCCTTTCTTTCTCTTTCTTTTGTTTTCAACATTCACTTTTATGAGATTTTGAGTTCCATATTTTTCCCCTCCCTTCCTTCACCAAGACGGCATGCAATCTGATATTGGCTATACATGTATAATCATATTAAACACATTTCCACGTTAGTTATGTTGTGAAAGAAGAATCAGAACGAAAGGAAAAAACAACAACAAAAAGAGACAATAGAATGCTTCCATCTGCATTCAGACTCCATAGTTCTTTTAAGTGTGTGGATCGCATTTTCCATCATGAATCCTTTGGAATTGTCTTAGATCATTTCATTGCTGAGAAGAGCTAAGTCTATCAAAGTCAGTCATCGCACAATGTGGCTGTTACTGTGTAGAATGTACTCTTGTATGTTCTTGTATGGCATCAAGCCATACAAGTCTTTCCAGGTTTTTCTGAAGTCCACTTGCTCATCATTTCTTATGGAACAATAGTATTCCATTACATTCATATACCACAACTTGTTCAGCCATTCCCCAAATGGGGGAATGCCACCACAGAAAGAGCTGTTATAAATATTGTACATGTGGGTCCTTTTCTCTTTTTTATGATCTCTTTGTGATACAGCCCTAGAAATGGTATTGCTGGATCAAAGGGTATGCAGTTTTATAGCCCTTTGGGTATAGTTCCAAATTGTTCTCCAGAATGGCTGGATCAGTTCACAACTCCACCAACAATGCATTAGTGTCCCAGTTTTCCTACATCTTCTCCAACATTTATCATTTCCCTTTTTTGTCCTTTTAGCACCTATTAATTTTCATTTCTCTAATCAATAGTGATTTAGAACATTTTTTCATATGACTATAGATAGCTTGAATTTCTTCATCTGAAAACTACCTGTATATATCTTTTGGCCATTTTTCAATTGGGAAATGACTTGTTTTATAAATTTGACTCAGTTCTCTATATTTTAGAAATGAGGCCCTTATCAGAGATGCTGGTTGTAAAAAATTTTCTCAGTTTTCTGCTTCTCTCCTAATCTTGTTTGCATTGGCTTTGTTTGTGTTAAACCTTTTTAATTTAATGTAATCAAAATTATCCCTGAAATTAAGCATTTCGTAATGTTCTCTATCTTTTGTTTGGCCATAAATTCTTCTGTTCTCCATAGATCTGACAGACAAACTATTCCTTGCTCTTCTAATTTTCTTATGGTATCACCCTTTATGTCTAAATCATGTACCATTGTGACCTTATCTTGATATACAGTCTGAGGTCTTTCAACTCTAAATCTAGTGCTCAGTTCACTACACTCCATGCTGTCTCTAGGGGTGTGACTATGCTCTGAAAGTGAGTGCTCATTAGCATCTTGGCTGGCTTACTAGAAGGTTTCCTGTTGGATGATGACTTTCCCTTTGCCTCTTTATGGCCCCAATCCTTCCAGTCCCTCAGTTCTTTCTCAGGCCATCACCAGTGCCCTGGCTGTATTCTGTTCCCTTCCTCACCTTGCCCACTTGGTTCTAACTCTGCCACACTCACCAGCTGTGGGTAGCCTCCAGGGCTCTGCCCTGAGCCTTTCTCTTCACTTGGTTTCTTTATTGGCTTCCATGGGTTCAGTTATCATCAACATGCAACTGATTCCCAGGTCGCTCCTAATCTCTACCTTGTGGTACCTCACTCTACAGTACCATCTCACCAACTGCCCATTGGACTCCTTTCCATGGGGTGCCCCATGGAATTTTCAAGCTCAACATGTCCAAAGCTGACCTTGTTATCTTCTCTCTACCCCTACCTTGACCATTCCCCTCCCCCCATCTGAACTTTCTGATTACTGTCTAGGGTACCACCAGGCCAGTCACTTAGGCCTCCAACATCAGTATTGAAGTGGGGAGAGACTTGAGGCAGGCTACTGTAATAGTCCAGGCATGAGGAGACGACAGGCCTGCTCCAGAGGAGGGGCAATGTCAAAGGAGAAAAGGGAATTGTTTGACAGATGTTGGCCCAGGTGAAGTTGGCCAGAGATGCTGGCAGAGCTGAAATCGACAGGCCTTGGCAAGAAACCTCCTCCTCACTTCCACCCTGAGATTACTTTCCACCTACTCTGCATTTGTCCCAGTTTTTAGCACAGTGCCTAGCTCTGACATGCTCATAGTAAACATTTAATAAACAATTTTGACTGACCAACCTTTCCAATTAAGCTCTATTTTAAACCTGCTTCGAGGTTAGCTCCAGGTTCAGAAGCCTTGTGTCCCAGGCTCATCATTCATCCCCAGCTCCTTGCCAGATATGAGAGGCTGAGTAGGTCACTTTGGCCTCATTTCCTCATGTGGCAAATGAAAAGTTTTAATATTATGGTGCCATCTATGTCTTCTTACTATTATATCTATGTCTGTGTCTACTTACTGCATATCTTTTAGTTAAATTTGTGAATTTGTAAATATTTTGAGGTGTGGAGGAGAGAGGTAACTTGGGTTTCCTCACTGGAATCAATCAATAAACACTAAGCACCTACTGTGTACCAGGCACTCTGCTAAGCACTAAGGATGTAAAAAGAGGCAAAAGATAGTCCCTGCCCTCAAAGAACTTACAATCTAACGGGGGACACAATGTGCAAACAAATTTACCAAGTAATCTGTACATTAGAAGGTTCCTTCACTAGGAAAATTTCCCCCCATTCCCACTCCAATAGATTTAGGGGTAAAAGATTCTGTCTCAGATTTAGAGCTTAGAAGACATCAGACTAAGCCTTCCCCCACCCCAAACCATCGCCCAGAGGAGGAGGGATTCAGACCTATGTCTCATAGTACAAATCCAGTGCTCTTCACTGTAGCTCAGTGCCGGATTATTGTGGTCTATTTCTGGTACTTAAATGGACCTTGCAAAAGAATTAGATGAGCTGAAAGCAATTCTACTGTCCTTTATTTGGCCCATTTTACCCCACACGGGCAGTGTGATACCATTAGCAGCTAGGGAGCTGGAAGTTTCTAGGCAGAGAAGACAGAGATAGCAGGGAGCAGAATAGTCCCTAAAATCCTGAAGTGCTGGAGAGAAGTACCCTGTACTTGGCACAAGGAGGGGGGTCTGGCTAGGGCAGAGATAGCCTGTCCCAGAAA